GTTGATCATGAGGCCGACTGAGGCTGCGGCATCAACTGTACGGTCAAGTTGAACCTGCGCTCTTGGAGTTGATGATTCTAGCAGGCAGATGTCGTCAGCAAAATCGAGATCGTTCAAATACTTTGTAGGGTATCTCCTGGATCTTTTTGGGTGGGTGAGTAAGCCGGAATCACTATCACGAGTTGATTGAGACATGACATAGTCAACAACGATGACAAAAAGAAATGGAGCGAGCTAGGACATCACCCTGGAGGACACCTGTTGTTACTTCAAATGTATCGGACAAACGACCATCAACAAAGATCGCACTTTTCGAGTTGTTTGTTACGAGTTTGACTCGTCCACCTACCAGTGTCGTAACCCTGACCAGGGGGGCTAAGGGTGTGGTATCACTTGCCAAAAGTAAACACCCAAGCTAGTGGAGGGAAGGAGTCGCTTTACTTCTCCATTCTGGAGCGAGACGCCAAGCTCCAGCCACTGCCCCGATAAATACTAAATACTATGAACTTATTGAGTAAGTTAGAGGGCCGTACGGGAAAATATTTGGCTCGANTAGTCCAGTCAATCTACGAAAATTTTGGCCTCAACCTGCCACTAATTGCAACAGAAGGTTTCTCAACGGTTTTCGACTCAGAATTATGTGCTTTACAACATATCAAAAGTCCCAAAAAGTCCCAAGAAGGGAAGATAGTAAAAACGAGGGTTATTTATGACTATCTTGACAGCCATTTGAGCTCAACATGGAAACGAGGCTACAACCAAAACACGAGATTATACTTACTTAAATGTAAATAAAAATCAAATGAAAACAAGCATTCAATGTCTAAAACAATATTTTACTTATGCATTTTCGAAACATTGGAATAACGCTTATGATAAAATGTCATCAAACGTTATGCTTATGATGTTTAATAAACATTAGGTTTCTCTTTAAATTTTACTTTTGTTTTATTGTATTTGAAAATATACCATATGAAATTATTGAATCGACAGATACACGAAATAGATAAAATAGATCATGCGATCGCGAATTCGAACTGTCGTGTCCTCTTAGAGGTTGTAGCTTGTTCATTTCATTTMATGTCTAGGAATTTTTTAAAAGCCCAATTCACTTTGGTCTTATAAATGTTCTTTGAACATTTAACCTATTCATTARKTTTCAAATAAGATGTAACAAGATGTGCTTAAAGCTGGGGTTTCAAATAGTATTTTAATGATCACAGGATCACTACTTCACAACATACATGAACCGAACGAGAACTCTGAATAAATTAATACATACGGGACCTAGTGTCACGCAATAGTGTAATGTTTGATATTGTCACATAAAACTATTGTTTAGGCTTCGACCTTCTTCATTGTCGTCGTCATCGTCATCGGTTGTCGCTTTTCAGTCACAAATTGTTTATACCGATCCCCTCGGGAGGATGTCAAACCTGTGACATTCACATCATGAGCTGAAGTTGTCCGAGTCAGAGCGCGTCTCTGCAGCTGAATCAGTGTACCACGAGTGTGAACTTTAGAACGAAAAAGTGCCTATAAATACATATGCACATCCTAAAGAGAAAAGACAAGCGTTTCTTAAAACAGTTGAATTCTTAATAGAAAATGATGATGAACAAATAACGRTGTCTGATCTGACAGAAAAATGAGTCACTTTTTGGGAGGGAGAAGGCCTATGGCCGCACCCATATAAGAGCAAAGATAAAAGAACATTCAGTTGAAGACGTCATTATTACAAACATAAATGGGAAGCCATTTATCTCTAGTGCACTTGCTACTTGAAATATTTACGGTAAGAAACGACTTGAAGATCGCGCTTTGTTAGGTCAAACTATATAATGAAAGTAGCATGACCCAGTCATTTTAAATGCACCGCTACAAATGGACTAATAGTACAGCGCTTCACGTTTCCTTGTCAATTCGCGTTTACTGTTTTGAATTTTGCTCGCCATGTAACGATGTTCAAGCATTMAACATGACTGCATCTTGAGAGTGAATGGTCTGAACCCAGGTGAAAGCGATGATACMACACCTACATGTCTTGAGTGCATCAGTAGATCAAGGGACTGATCTTCCTGATTACTATGCCGCGGAGTAACGTTGATCATGGCGGACATAACACGGTATTATTGGGATGATTACAATYATGATGCTAGGGACAAAGCGAAAACCAGGCGCGTAGCGTGGACKTTTTGGCTAGTATACGCCAAAAGGGAGCGCGCGAGGGCATTTGGGATCTGAGRGGTCTAACGAGCGCAAAAGGCGKACTTGATCTCCCCAAGGAAAATTTYGAAATAATAACTCTTGGATATGTGATTTCCAGCGTTTTGCCGAGGGCATACAAAAGGGATCAGTTTTATGTGAATTTAATTTTTATGAAAATATTTCTTAATATTTCTTTGCTACTAGTACGCACGTRCGTATATCTKGTATATGCGTAARGGACTATACGCGCCTGAAACCGTCGTGTTCCGAAACGTTAAGTTACCACTGCACTGACGAGATAACAATAGCAGAGTTCGAGTTCCCATAACGCATCTCAGGTACAACAACGTGCTAGTGAAACACGCTTTGGATCCCRCWGMTAGTCTTRCCAGTMYTCATGTCGGCMTTTGGAAGACCTCACTGTTATTTGGGACTGCGCGCTCCGCGTGGTATGGAATGATGCAAAGCTTCCAGAAGACTGAGTAGGCTCACCAGTGTCAGTCCTCAGTCCACTTCTTGCCAATGATCGACTGAGTCCAAGTGACATAATATCCATAGTGCCATGAATAAAACCAATAAATAACTTAATTGTTTTCTGACATATATTGTTTTATTTGAAGGGTTCGTTTAATGTTAGTGTTGGTATGCAATGCTCTGTATCAGCTGTATGCAAAATAACGAATAGCATAACATTTTACTATAAAACAACTCGCGATAAAAATGTATTGTATAAACATTTTAGCGATGCATGTGATTCGTCACTGGTAAATAAAAACATAACTATAAAGAGACAGCTTGTAACATGAGAATGTAAGCACTTTCACTTTGAGACAACCGTTTCTTATATTCTGATATAAGTTGAATGCCAAAAATGTAAAAATCTATTGCTTAGAAAACATTTTCACCATCTTAGAGCAATAATACAACTTTTGTGTGGATTTAAATAATAATCGAGTATTTTAGCGATCAAATATAGCAACTTCCGGTGTCAGCCTCGTTTCCATGTTGGTACATTTATATGCAATTTTATAGTGTCRCACAAAAACCCGATTTTTAGGACCTTCCCCTACTMVARTCTTCTGGRACTTTTTTTTGGTAGTTAAKGGGATACTAACGGACATGTTAATGAAGAAAAAGCTTCTGTTGCAATTAGTGACAGGTCATTTCGTAGAATGACTGGACTATTACTGGACATATCTGGGTCTTTGAGTTGCTTTATAGTCAGCTGTCCTAGCCATTTTTGTTCTTCTACTTCTTTGATGTGTTTATCATGTACAGCATTGTTAAGGATGTCCTTGATCGTTTGTGGGCTGGCTTTATTTACGGTTGTTGTTTTGCTGTTCGAARTGATRSTGGTTCCTGTTTCATCAAATGTGCACTCGAGATCATATTCATTTGCAAACTTGGTTGCCTGTTTAAATATGGATTTTCTTCCTTTTGCAATCTTGTTTAACTCAAGTGCTCGTGCAAGTTTAATTCTACAGTCAGTGGATTTGTTCAGGTAGTTTGCCATCTTTATCGTTGTCACCTTGTAGGTGTCTTCAGCGCTTCTAAGGCCGCTTYCTCCATCTTCYTCCGGKAGGTACAGTAGCTTTACTGACTCATTGTAGTGCATCCCTCCTTCTTTTCTTATGATTTCTCTGGTACGTCTGTCAATTTCCTTCAGTTGGTTTATCGTCCAGTCACTTGTCCACATGTGATACTGGAGTGAGGGTAATGCAAAGACTTTGGTTGCATATCACTGACACTCGTCTCAGRTATTCCTTACTTGCCTCATCACGGACTTGTTCTTCCAGTTGTATCGAATTTTCGTATTTGCTGAGGAATTTGTAGTGGTCATTGGCGTTTAGTACCTTAAGCACCTCTGAGTCAGGCATTTGTACGTTCTCCGTATTTGATTTGATTTTTCCTCGTACGATGTCTACCGTAGCGCACTTGTCCAACCCCCAGGTTAGTCCGATATCTTCAAACATGTCTTTTGATGTCTTTGTTATAAGAGCAGCTTTCTTTGCAGACTTGTGATAAGTTTTCAAGTCATCCACGTATAGTAGGTGTGTTAACTTTTCGTGTTTGTCATGTGAGTAGCTATAACCTTCGGTACTTCGCAGCCACCATGCTATTGGGTTGAGGCAAAGAGTAAATAGTCTGACGCAGAATGAGTCACCTTGTAGTATTCCTTGTTTCAGACGTATTGGGCCAATGCATTCTTTCTCGTTTGTGAGTTTGACTTCTAGCGTTATCGACCAGTGTTTCATTGTGTTCTCGATAAAGGTAATTATCTTGGGTGGTATTTTGTGCATCTGTAGACATAGTAATAACCACTGGTAGTTAACTGAGTCAAAAGCCTTCTTGACATCAATCCATACGCATGACAGGTTTTTACTTCTGTTTCATAGGGAGGGGAAATTTTTAAAACCCATTTATAATGCATTGTGGCACTGAATAAAAGAAAAGTAGACCATTTTTTTAAAGTAAAATATTATTTTTAACTATTATAGGTTCAAATTCATTGCTTGGGCTCCCTGTGCCTCAGTAAAGATTCTCCCGTACAGACCTCGCGCTCGGCCCGGTTAATAAGACCTAATTACAACACTCTTCACGGTTGTGATTTTCTATTGTGTTTTTCTCGTTAATTATTCCTGAGTTTTACCCAAAAAATAAAGTTCTTAGAGTGCAAACACGACACTATTAAAAAATGTAGTACAAAAATATGTACTGAATCATGCAAATTTCTTTTTTTTTTTCAATTGTCAAATCTTAGGCTTATTTATTTCTGATATTGTTTTACACAGGTTTGGATATTTGATCAAACTGATGGAAATGGGCGTTTATTGAGATCACGTACTGGTCATAGTTTGCCACCCACTAAAATTAGATTTTTTGGACAAAAAGGTGGTGATTTGCTAAGTGCAGGTAAGATTTCAATTGATTGGTAGCGTGCAGTGATAAAAACTTGTGATAATAATTGTCTGTAGGACTCCTGGGTAAAAGTACTGTAGGGAAAAAAAAATGATTGGGAATCTTTTAGGGTGCCAAGTTTGAGTTTCTGGAAATTTGATCTTCCTCTCTGCGTTTTTGTCATTGGAACTGATTTTGTTTAACAAGATTTGTTGTGCAATCCCTTAGGGGTTAAAAATCAGTCAGCCACGCTCTTGTTTCAAGACTTCTGAGATCAGATAGGTTTTGTACAAAAGCTTTACCCTATAGTTTCACCAGCGAGTACATTCCCATTGTTGATCTCATTATTAAGAAAGACAGAAGATTCTGGACAATGCCTACTTGCTTAACAAACTTTAGGAGTTTGAGGAAAAAGGGTCACCGATATATAATGCATTGTGTGGGAACTGAGCCTACTACAAACCATGCTTTGTAAAAATACATAAATAACATCTTACATTGTACTTTTTTATGACGTTTTTTTTACTGGAAATTATTTTTGTTTTTATTATGTTTGATAGGTCTTGATAGAACTCTTAGACAAATTTCAACAGTTAAAGATGCAAGAAGTTGTGAATTGTCACAAGGTTTGTATGGAGGATATTGAGTAATGATATGATTGTTTCATTAGGTTTTTCAACACTAGAAAAAAGGAACTGGCAATTCGAGTTCCTGGAAATCACAAGACATGGAATATGTGTTCTCACGTAACGTCATCCACAATTATCACAGCTATGCTGATGCCACTGTGATAAGAAAGTATAGAATTTTCTATGATGATGATCAGACTATTAAGTCTGTAATGCTATGCATGACCTACGCCAAGTTGGAAATCATTAATCCTCATTTAGTATTCTTTATATCAAGAATACTCTAATAAGAGATTGTTTTAGTTGACAATTGTGTAAAGCATTCTTCTAATATGACTTTATACTTTCATTTAATGTTAAACCATTTTGGTAATCTACTTTTAATTGCAGGTTCTTTTACCAAAAGATCTAAAAATGTGGCTCTTAAGCTTGAAGGTCTCAAATTCCCTCCAATATTTGACTTTGCAGCAGGTATTTTTTACCATGATTACAAATTAAAAGGGATATAAAACATGATTAAAAGAAGAAAATTCAGCTAATTCTTGATTAATTTTATAAATGTCAGGGATGTTAATATGATAGGTAGTGTATAAAGAACGAAAGAGTGTGTTTTATCAGGTGATAAAGATCCGRGCCATGTTTTAAGGAATTCCTTGGAGCAGAGGCACTTTTTTCGACTGTTTCACCATGTATTTACTGTTCCGAGACTTCGGCTCCAAGGAATTTCTGACTTGGAAAAGTTTTGCCTAATATAAATGGTCCTAAATTAATTGCTAAATGCTTGAAAATAGCAAAGCTATGAGTCGAACATCAAATAATCGAATTGGCATTTTGTAAACGATGATCCACCATAAGCCTCTATTTAATAGTTTTATCCTTCATTTCATTGCCCACACAGGAAAGGTTGCTTACAATTCTAATAATGTATTCATCTACCTACCACGATTGTGTAGTAATATATTTATTGGAAATGTACTGTCATAAACGCCAAATTGTATAAAGCAGCCTGATACTCAGGCTCTCTCAAAAGGGGATTGGGCAGAGCTAAAGGAATTTTTTGTGTTGTGCAGCTGCAAAAGGCTCGGTTGTAGACATACTGATTAATCACATTTGGATTCTATTGCATTTTGAAATGGAGCGAACTTCTCATTTGCAGTGGCATGCATACAATCGCAAACCAACCATCTTCAGTAGATGAAATAGTTCCACTGTGAAAGAGATAAAGCTATAGGACATTGTTCTGTTTTCAGAGACAGCACGTCAAAGTGATTGGGAAAATGTTATAACATGTCACTATGGGAGCACTAAAGCAAGAACATGGAAATTCCAGAATAAGTGTCTTGGTAAACACTGTCTTACAACTTTCAAGAAAAATGAAGAAAAGCATGGGTGTATTACAGTAAGTATGTTTGTGATCATGTACGGGTCATGGAAATACTGGAAAGTCATGGAATTTTGTCGGTGATAACGGAAAGTCATTGAAAATATTCTATACTATAGGTCTACTATGGCCCACACTTTTGCAATTTGTCGTTGTTGCACCGTTGAACTGTAAAGCAGGCCCACAAATTCAATGCGCTCTTCCCCAAGTATGTGGTTAATGCACCAAACTTTACAACACTACTGTCCGACCCAGGCTGTTCTCTGAGTGTGCTACTTTTTCTTATTTAAAACTGCGAACTCCAAGACCATTAAAGTCTGACGCAAATATTTTATATTATTTGCTTATTAAATTCTAACACAAGCTAAATCATACTAGTATTTTGCTAAAAAAATAAGATTAGAAGTATTACAAAGTTACGAAGTCGTATGCAAATCAGAACAAATCTCTTCCTCATATAGAGACGTGGTCACGCCAGTGATTGTCTATTGTGTTTTGTATTGAACCATTGATGTGATCAACTGCGGGCATATGAATTGCCCTATGGCATAATGACGTCACAGTATGTTTACATTGTGGATAGTTACACATGCCACCCCGCCACCCAGGCATTAAACAAATCATTGCGGCTCCAAGCAATTAAAACGCCCGACAAACTATTCCATTTCAAGGCCACCAAGGCACATTTATTAGCGATAAAGCCCCACAGGCAACTAAACCTCTCCTTAGAGTCTTTGTTTCAGCCCCTCAGGCAACAACACGCGGCACACCCACCGGCCACATTTATTATCGATAAAAACTCCACAGGCAACGAAAGAACTTCCCGTTAGAAACTCCATTTTGCCTCTCAGGCAACAAGATATTTGATTTCAAGCCCCACTAGGCACATTTATAAGTGATAAAAACCACATGGCCACTCAAAAACTCTCCGTTAGAAGCTTTACTTCAGCCCCTCAGGCAAGCACATATTTCATTTCAAGCCCCACCAGGCAATTAGAAGCACACAAACAATTCTACGCACCACTGAGACTAACACTCGAGCCTCGAAATATGGACAACCGCGTGCTTAGTTAAACTTAAAATTTGAGGTAATAATGATACCAGCAATGGGAATTTATTTTCTTTTAGAACTTTCTTTATTTCCAAGTGATTGTACATTTTTGCTCTCAGCAGTTGTTAGATTCCGACCACAAGGAGGACATTGATGTTGAAATAGAAGTTCAACTTTGGTTAAAATCATAAATTGAATAGACAAAATGAATACAACATTTATATATTGAGAATCGCTACTTTTTGTTAGCAAAAAGATACAATATAAAGTACGGTATTTCGTACTGAAATAATAATTTTTAATAAACACCACCCCCGAATAGACGCCGTCCTCGAATAAACACGTGAAAAATGAAACAAACGCCGAGGCGTCTATTCAAATAAATACGGTACACATTTTCATGTTTAATCGAGAAGATGGTTCATGTAAACAGTTGAATCTTGGCAAGAAATAGTTGTACTCTTTTCCATTGCACTCAAAGCTCTCTGAGCATCTATTTTGTGGGTTGACGCGGTAATAGTGCAGACTCTAATGTTTGGCAACAAGGGGCCATTTTGCATGACCATGCGCGAGAAGCTGTATTGTCGCATTGTTACCTGCAGGCTCACAACAGGCTACCCGCTCATTCATTTGTTACACGACGGTGAAAAGCTATCGTGCATTCCTTTATTTCTCTATATTTTCGGTTCATCGTTATTTGCGAGCGTAATAAAGAAATTGAAAATGTAATAAAGTATGCAACAACGGCAATACAAAAAAAAAAATTAAAAAGAAATTATCGATCTGCAATAACATAGCTAAAAGACCTAGTTTGTAACAATCAAACGTCTAGGGGCAGACGCGCGTATTTGTGGCGCTTGATAAAACATAAAGTATAATAACCAGGGACTGAGTAGCAGTCGAGTTCGGATAGCATTTGAAAAATTAGCGGATTCCATCAAAAAAACGTTAATACTATTTCAAAATTGTTTTCTGAGCAATATATAGGGAAGCTATTGCCCCCTTCCCCCGGGCCACTTCCCCACCTGTTTTACAAGATAAGATGACAATACATGAAATCAAAAGAAATGTTGCAGATTTGTTGTACTCAATGTTACATGCAATAAAGCACTGTGTGAAGATTACATTATTTCCAGGGAGGGGTGCAGGGCACTCAGCCAGGCAGCTCTCCAAGAAACCATGACAAAGGNGATGAAAAATGTCAAAAAGCGCGAATTTAACAATTATCGCGCTACAGGCTGTGTGAATCTTGTCGCTTTAATTGCCACCGATTTCAAAACAAAATTTTGTCATAAAGTACAAATAGCATCCAATTTACATGGCTATAAGAACAGGCACCAGTGCGTCTTGTTTCCCAAGATAAACCAACGACAAAGTATGGTTTTGACCACATTTCGGTCGCCATTTTATCTTCTCCAAGTCAGTCACCATGTATGATTTTTAACCATATTTTAAGCAGATATACTCCAGAAATTTGACTTGAATAAGACTTTCAACACATATTCGATACTAGACTTGACGTTTGAACCTAATCAATTAGTTGTTGAAGAATGAAAAAGCGTATTTTCCTGTACGTAAATTATGTAAACATCTCGACCGAGAAAGAGCTGCGAAACAGTGCTGTGACCAAGGTAGCTCAAGCGTATCGTGCATGCGCATTGAAATGGCCCCTTGTTATGTTTGGCTGGTGTAGTGAAGTTTATTTGTAATTTTACGGTTATATTTGCTTGTTTTTGTCTACTCTGTCCCGAGCTTATATTTTTCTTCTTTGCATTAAATTGAACAGCTCACACTGTATGCTTCACATGTATTGTTCTTTGTTTTGGATTTTTCTCTCAATGAATTGTACCGGAATGTGTTGTTGCCGCTTGTTTTGTTTGTTCTGTCTACTGCGTGTGCGGAATGTAATTGTACATGTATTATGCACCTCATGGTAAATACGGCTTTCAGGGCGTTTTGTGTAGTGAATTCAGTCATTGTATGGTTGCTGAATGGAGTGATTGTGTATTATACCGTTTAGAATTCTATTCTGTACGCTTATGGTTTAGGGCAATGATGCCATGGATGGTGTTTTAAAACGTCTTATCAAACTCATTAATAATTCATAATGTCATTAGCMAATGATATACTGASAATCTAATCACRTGATTATACCTTTATATTGGATAAAAGGTGCAGCAAGCTCAAAGTTGGGGGCGGCTTTGAATATTTTCAGGGGAGTGAGGGTCTGATTATCATTCAACGTTTTCCTGATACAGACCTAATTAATAAAACATTAGTTCTATATCAGTGATACAGAACTAATGTTTTATTAATTAGGTCTGTATCAGGAAAACGTTGAATAATAATCAGCCCCGCACTCCCCTGAAAATATTCAAAATGTCTAAACTCGCGTGTAATCAAACACAATTAAAACACACTGAAAAATCAATATTGTAGCTATGCCGTTTCGTTTCCTCGCGATTTACTCGAACGTCGGATAAGCCTCTTTGTTTTTCTTGGCGCCTCGTCTTGTATGAATTTGACCATCCAAAAAATAAACAGTTATAAACGACTCGGCGTTCAGTCATCAAGACCACCAGCGTCAGCATATCCTGGAATGACTCGCTGTTTTTGAAAGACTGAAACTGGTGCTCCCATTAATGGCTTTCTTGATCGCACGGTCTTTTTGCCGGTCGCCAAAATAAGGTTGCGGACCATTTTGTTGGAACACTCCCCTGAACAATAGCGCTTTCCTTTATGTTGAGTTTTAGGTCTCCTAAATCGACTCGACATGTCTTCGAGGGAGAAATGRAAKMCAACTGATTTAATTTTTGCTAACTATGAATGCCTAATATCTTGCAATTCCTTTGACAATTCTAATTTTCTATAGTTTGGCAAGCACATTCTTTAAAAAACAATAGGAAAATAAACAATTTTCAGGAGTAAGTATAAAAAGCTTCTAATGTGACAATTCCACTTTCAATTAATCATTTAGAAATTCCCTTGATAGTTCAGTTGTTTCATGAAACAATGGCGCCATACAAACAGTTATATTTGACGAATATTCAATTTTTCAAAAACATTAAAATGAGAATTATTTTTAAGTTTGATAAGCCGTATACAGAACTCGAGAGCGTGTTGTATCGGGGCTAAAGATCCTCGTCTTCGGCTCGGATCTTTATCACCCGATACAACACGCTCTCTCGTTCTGTATACATTACTAAGACAATTAGAAGAGAGACAGGATTGTTTCGTCAGTTGTGGGTTTAATTTCACTGATATCAAACATATCTTTATTGACCAGTCGCGGTACAATACAAGTGCGTTCGAATCCTATTAAGAAGTTACATTATTAAGAAGCRTATAGTAATATACAGAGAATAAACGAAATTGATAGTTACCCAGTKACTCGGCAGTGTCCACAGCTAACGAAATAACTTACATTAGCATTATGACGTCATTATTACGTAGCACATTAAAGAACAATTAACTTTATAATTAATTACAGAATTTCTTAACGAAACAAGGATGTATCAGTAGATTCCACTCTTCAGGACATACGTTTGTTTCTTAAGTCTCCGAATTTCAACAAGGACCAGGCGTTCGATTACCTGCTGACTCTGCAATTAGTAGGAAAAGAAAAGAAACATGTTAAAGCGGGCTTCTATGAAGCAGTTATGCGTGCTATGAGGGAAAAAAGTACTTCGATGATGGGCAGTTCAAAAGGTACTTGGATGTGTTGATTGGCGATAAAGATCAGGAAAAAGTGCTGGATCTTATCTCTAAGGTGGACAAGGCTGTAAAACGCAAGAGCAGCTACAGTAACCAGTCCGATTCCCCAAAGAGACCACGTGGAGGGTTTGCGCGTCGCACAGGAGTGCAATGCTTTTTAGATTGCCAATAACCTTCTTTTTCATCAGATGGCTGATTTCCTTGGAAAATCCATCAGATTGTGCCAACTTGATCAACAGCAATAAAGAGCTTT